ATTAATAATTTTTAATAAATTATAATCGTTAATTTGTGAAAATTCATTGTTAGAATTTGATCTCAAATTAAAAATACAAGTGTCAAAGAATCTTATATATATATTAAAACAAATGCTTCTTAAACTAAAACAAATGCTTCTTAAATTATAAAATATTATGTTACTTACTTTTTGACTATTTCGTCAGAGGATGTCTCCTCCCTTATATTCTTGAAGACATAGATTTCAATATTTTTCAGTTTAACAAAATTAATAAATAAAATAACTCCGAAATTTATTTTTCATATTATTTGTTCATTTTTTCAAAGACATGATGTCCGAAATTTTAATGGACCAACTAATTTGATTTTGAATTTGTAGCTCTCCACCTTCCCCAAAAATTCGAGCACTCAGGATTCGAACGCACTAGACTAAAAACTCTAAATTTATCATGTGTCATTTATCGAACTGTTCAAACATTTAAAATAAATACTCCACCAATATTGCATTCATACATAAATTTTTTACCTTTTACTTTTTACAAAAGATCTTTTTAGAGAAAAGCTCATACATTTTTCTTCTATTGTAAAATACACAGATTCCATCAAATACCTAAATGGAGGAGCTAACATTGCTTACGATACTTAAGAGCTGGAATGATTATAAAAACCTCAAGAAGCTCGAAAACGACAATTCATCTTTATTTTTTATTTGTTTAAATCAACAGGCAACTTTAAAAAGGTAGGAGAGTGCAGTCAATCTAACCGGACATGAAATAGGAATGCAAAATATGAAATGATTTTTACACCCAGTCAACCTAATAATATCTCAAATAAAGAGATAAACTATGAAGTTAATTGCGTGCTCAGCTCCAACCTCGTGCCCCTAATGTTGTGAGGAATCAATCATATTAGTTCTGATGCCACGATGACTACAACTACACACAGTTTTGCACACAATAATTACCACTGCGATGAACTGAAGACCAAACATTGATACAAAAATTATCCACCCGGTCTTGTCACCATTATATCATGTACAAAGCAACAAATACATGGATGCACCCACATTTTAACAACAAATACTATTTTCTTGAGATTATATGGAAATTTGAGAAGCACACCAGACAGGGATTCATGGCACGAGATTATCATCTGACCCGGCATGCTGCTGGAGCACCTGGGGAGCAATTTGGGTTTGGAGACCGACAAGTAGCACCTGGACCAACATTGTTCGAAAACTTGTGACGCATTCGGTAGTCAGAAATTTTGCTCATAGCAAAAGGCCCTTCACTCCCACTATTTGATCCTGATAATGAGACTTCACCTGCACCAACACTAGAACTTTGTAAGGGTTCCAATGTTTCCACTACATCACTCATTAGTGGCCTCGCTTTGGGATTTTGACTCAAACAGTAGTAAGCTAAGCTACATGCTTTCTGTGCTGCCCTCACTGAGTATTGATTCTCCAATCTAGGATCAATTATTTGTAGGAGCTTTCTTTTGTCATTGAGCTTTGGCCGTGCCCAATCTACCAAGCTCTGTTCCCTTCCAGGTCTTGTCTTGTCAACAGATTTCCTTCCCGTTAGAAGCTCCAAAAGAACAACCCCAAAGCTATAAACATCACTCCTGGCTGTCAGGTGGCCTGACCATTTTCACATATGCCAAAGTTTAGACATGCATCCATGTATGCACAAGAGCACATGCACAATGAAGGTTAGAAGCATATTTTGTGACAAGCTCATAGTACATCATCCTAGCTCACTCTCACATCGCAACACATGATGAGTAAGATCAAATTCTATGCAGTTCATGCTTTTAAGGCATTCAAGTAATTTTGTTTTTTTCCATTTATTTACAAATGGAGAATGTTTGAAAATCTGAGGTCATACCAGTCATAACATATTCAGGGGCAGCATAACCATATGTACCCATGACTCGGGTGGATACATGGGTTTCATCACCCTGTGGTCCTGCTTTAGCTAGTCCAAAATCAGAAAGCTTGGCAGTATAGTCCTGTAGAGTCATGGGTAACACCAAGTGGGAAAAAATAAAGATAATAATTTCTTTATTACACAGCCATTAAAAAATCGGAATAATTAACTTCAAAATACCAGAAACTTACAGAGTCCAATAATATATTAGATGTCTTGAAGTCACGATAGATTACAGGTCTTTCAGCATTGTGGAGAAAGGCAAGCCCTTTGGCAGCCCCAAGAGCAATCATCATTCTTGTAGCCCATGACAAGGGGACAGTTGCCTCTGGAAGCCTCAGGAAAGTTCATATCAACATGAGTTGAAAAAAAATACCATCTACCAAAAAGAAAAGAAAAAAAGAAAAAACATACCAAGAAACTAGAAAAAATCTTAGCTTCATAACTGTCAGTATGAGCAATGTTTTTCATTCAGAACTAACAATGAAAAAAAATCAGAAAAATATATTGTTTAAGATGCTTTGTCTTTTGTTGCGAAGTGAATCAACAGTTTTTGACCAAAATCAGACAAAGTCGGGAGGGACACTATTTTAATAGTGTCAATAACTTTAACAACAGATTGAACAATATAAATCATTATAAAATATAAAATAGGATATAACCATGAAATTCCTCAGAGTACAAGTACAACTTCTATCCTGTCTCAAAAGCCCTAGACAATGGTATACATAACCCGATCAACAAAGGGAATCAGTTATAACCCACATAAAATCCTATGCCCTAACAAATGCAACACCTTCCAGCCCAAAAATTATCATATTAAAGCATTGTACTGTTAGTTTCAGGGTAATGATTCACACTATTGTCACTCAATGGCAGTGCCACCAGTAAAGCAAGATAGTCATAAATTTTAAAACCTAGCTTGCAGTCAACATACTGACTGAAAGACAGAACTTTGATGTTTAAATTATCCATTTATAACCTAACTAATAGTACTAAATAAGGTGCAGAAAGCCAGAGACGCATCCCCAAGCTGCTAATTGACTTTTGCTTGCAGATCTTGATTAGTTTCACAATTGAGACATTGTTGTACAAACAAGGGAAAATAATCACTTAATTAGGAATTTGAATTTATGGAGGCAGACCAGTAACTACATATTTCAGATTCTAAATCAACGCTGATGAAAGTTGTATGTCTATCATTAGGTGTAATGCTATTATTCTCCTGTACTGAGGAAACAACAGTAATAATCTCTAGAATATAAAGAAATTGTGCAACTTTTAATACTAAAATTTGAAACTTCAGAAGAATTGTCATGTGTAATCAATTTATAGCATGTTCAACCCACCCAGAACAAGTGCAGCCAAACATCCACTTCCTCTTAGAGTAATGCACTCAAAAGCAGAGTTCATTAAGAACTACTATGAAATTCATCTCAGCATGCCCGGCCATTTTAATTGGATTGGTCATTCATTAATGTATGAATATCAGAAGTCAGAATACCTATGGGGAATTTTTTTTTCTTTTTCATTTTAAGTTATTATATTTTTTAATAATAATCAAGGAAACAACCTCTTTACGAAAATGCAAGAATTTGTTCAATCATACCCTTGCAATGCGGGATTTTATGAGGAGTGGAGCTGTTAGTGTCAATGTTTTTACTAATAATCACAAAAGTATCACTTAGTTTTTACTTTGTTTCACGCTTTAAAGAATTTGTAAAGGAAATGATGAAAATAAGATTTTGTTATTTCACCATTTCCGTTGTACATCATTAAAAACGGAGAATAAAGTAAAAAAAAAAAAAAAAAGTAGCAAAACTTTTTGTAATTAATACTAAAAGCATATAAACTAAAAAGAAAACAAAACACGAAACAGACACACATTAAGAATTTCCGTGACTCAGATCCAAAATCCATTCGATTTCATTTCCAAACTAAGCTAAGGAAAGATAAAATAAAAGAGATGAAAAAGGAGAAGTTAACATACTTCGGAATAAGTGATTTTCTAAACTTCCTCGAAACATGAACTCATAGACAAGCAATCTATGATCATCCTCGCAGCAGTAACCAATCAACTTAACCAGATTCGGATGCCTAAGCTGCCCTAGAAAATTCACCTCCGTCTGCATCAACCAAATCAACAAACACACACAAAAGAAAAATCATAGAAAATCAAACACTATAAACAAACACAGAAAAAAAGGAAAAAAGAAAAAAAAACAGAAGATGCAAATGCAAAGTGAAAACTCGCACAAGCCACTCTCGATGTCCCTGGAGTCCTTCCTTGTTCAAAACCTTGACCGCAACGGGTAAGGACTTGAGTCCAACCCTCACATTCTCATCAATGTAACCTTTGTAAACGGTACCGAACCCTCCTTCGCCTAAGATATAGTCGCCACGGAAGCTCTTCGTTATCGTTTCCAACTCGTAAAGCGTGAAAGCGATAACATGAGTATAAAGCACCGTGTTGTTGTTGTAGTTGTTGCTGCGCGGTGTCGTCGAACAAGACTCGCTCAGATCCGAAACGGACTCGGTCAGATTATTGTGTTTCTGATTCTGCTTCTTCTCTCCATTTTGATTCCTTCCACTAGCGCCGAACGACGACGCGTGATGATGAAGCTGCTGAACTGCGAAATTAGAGAATGCGACGAGTCAGTTAGTGAAATTCGATTAACGAGATAATTGAGAGAGAGAATGAGAGAGAGAGAGAGAGAGAATGAGAGAGAAAGAGAAGAAGAAGAAGAGCCCTAGATCTGAAAACCTTGAGCATTGGAAACGACGGCGGATTCCTCTCTGGTACCGCAGTTTCCCATTCATTCAAAAGCGAAGGAGGAAACGACAAGTGGAGCTGCGAAACGACGTCGGAGGAATAGTTTGTTGCGATGAGAGTGAAAGTGAGAGTGAGAGTGAAAATGAGAATGAGAATGAGAATGAGAGCGTTGTTGTGTTTTGGTGCGAGTGAGAGTAAGAATAAGAGTAAGAGTGGTGGAGCAGCACAGCACGGGGTGTTGCTATCCCCGAGGACCTGATTTTCATTCTTCCTTTTCTTACTTTCTCTCCCTCTAATTCTTTTAACTTATTAATAATTATGCTATATTAATTAAAGGCTTCATTTTTTTTCTACAGTTAATGTAGATAACTTATTTACAGTGAGTTCAAAATAACATCGTTTTGAGGTGAAAATCAAAATATTTTTATAATTATAATTTATTTCAGGGTTATAATAGTATTTTTTATTATCTACATTCACTCTAAAAAAATTAAAATCATTAATTAATTATTATCATATGATATGATAATTTGACCAAATTAATTATCTTATAAATATGTTATTCTACTTATTTTATTTACAAAAATTCCTTTAGTTTGGTATTCTCTTTTACTAAAATGATTTTTTTTTTCATTTTAATCCATATTTTTTTTTTATAATTTCTTTTATGTCCCAAAAATTTCCCCCTTTTAATATGAATGTACCTACATTTGTTGCACCAAAGGTTTTTTCTTTGTTTATCAATTTTTAATATCGTTAAATTAGAATATGAACAATAGAGAGAAATAGTAAAAATTAATTGAAATAGTAAAAAGTAGGTAGAATCAATCTTGTATTATAATTAATGTGAAATTTAAGTTTTAAATGTACAATCAATGTGAATGATTGTTTACACTATAATTCATTGTGTTTTCTTATCATTAAAACAAAATTAATCTTGAGTAACTGTTTAATAGGTGAAATTATTGCTTGCACCACCATCATGCCAAAAACCGAAGCATTTTCTTCCTAGTAGCATAAGAATTACATAGGTCAACCTTTTTGATACTCTAATAATCTATAAAACATTGCTTTTAATCAATCTTTGTCAAGCACATTAGTTGAAAATAGGTGTTATCACGTCTTACCCATATAAGGGGTAGGTGACAAAATCAAATCGAAGGTATAAAAAAAAACCGAGATAAGATAAGATTAATTATAGTTAGATAGTGAATAATATGTAAATGTGAAATGACATATATGAGTAATACGAGTGTAACATTGTTTACCATTTATATGCCTAAGTCACGTCATAAATCACTGATTTCTGGTTGGTTCAACAGTTCTGAAATCGAACCAGTTCCTATGATTTGGTTTATATGGCCTAGCGAAACCTACCAATGATTTGGTTCATGATTAAACTCCAATCCGTTTAAAAATGCTGAAAATTTCAAATGGATTGTTCAAATAATAAAATATTGTACAAATAATTTTTAAGTATTTTTAGACATCGAAGTCTAGATGTGGTCAAATCGGACTAGTTTAGGTTTGAGTCACTTGTTTTTGGCCCAATACGAGCATTTTGTGTGTGGATGCACTATTTCATATGAAATACTTAAAAAGATATGAATTAAATGGGGATAAAAAAAATGTACCCACTTAAATACGTATGATATTCCGAAGAAATTTCCCCAATAGACGGTTCTTGAATGAAATATTTCCCCAATAGCCAATGATCTGATTCACGTTTCATTTCTAAAATTTCAAAGGGGTTATAACTTATAAGTATGAATATCATGGAATTCGAACTAGATTAATTGGGTATGAAAAATGAATAAATAAAAACTTAATTGACTTGCTGCTTATAAAAAATTTATCACTTGGGTTAAAATCCGGGTCTAAATTATCTTATTTTAAAGAAATATTAATTATTTTTTGTGATTTTCTGAGAGATTTCTTGAAAAAAAAATATATTTCTCTAAAATTAATCTCACTCAAAAATACATTAAATTTAAGAATCCGATGTTGTTATGCTGTTTTTATTTTCATAATAAATCTTTACTTAGATTTGTGGTTTACATTTGAGAGAGTTGTTTACCGCTTTCAACTTTTAAATATAAAACTTCAGTAATAATATGAGTCCAATGAATGCTAAAATAGCAGGTTTCAAATTTTGAAAAGATTTTTTAAAGGTCAAAACTGGATAATTATATTTATACATTACTTGACTCAGATTAATCATCTATCTGTACGAGTATTTTTTCACCCGTTGGGATATCCATAAACCTGACTTGGATTAGTTAAAATTATATAATTAATTATTCAATGAGTGTCATTACAGTGGTTTAAAATAACTGGAGAAAAGCACTCGGATTGGTGTAGTGACGAAAAATTTAAATTTTGTATGATCTTATAAATTTGAACTTCAGTGTTACTATTACATTCAAAAAAAAAACTGGAGCAATACTCTCGTGAGACGTTTAACTTTTACTATATTCCCGATGAAAGCAGTATACTTATCTCCTAAAAGAATTATATAATTAAAAAAAAAAACATTTTTTATTTTTTTAAGAATGCATTGATTTTTTTTCTTACAAAAATTGTAGGTAGAGTTAGATACCAATATTTCACCGGGATTAGAACATAGAAGTTGTAATATGGGTCGAGCCTATAGGTCAACATGCCAAAACAAGGCAAATTGGGTCAGTGGTGGATACAGAAAAGATTTTTTATGTCCGCACATTTAGTGACGGGTTCGGGGACAGCGCCCCCGACTTTTTTTTTAAAAAAAATTTCAAATGCATTAAAAAACAAAAAATATAAATAAGAAAAAAAACTCCAACTTAATATAAAAAATCATTCCCAACACCTTTTTTTTTAATCAAGCTGATTTGTTGTATGGCATCAAAAAATATCCAATAAAATATATATCGTCTCATTCTATCCCATTGTATTCCATTCATTTCCATTTCATCCCTCGTTATATATCCAAGCAAAACCTAATTTAGCAAACATCATATTTGACTACTATACTAAAAAAAAAATCAGAAATTCATGTCCGCAAGTGCGGACATACGCGACCAACTGGGTCCGCCTCTGAATTGGGTTAAGGTTTTAAACCCACTAACACATTTTAATTCGCCCGCCTAAAAATAGGTCAAAACTGGTTCAACCCGCCACGGGGCAAATTGACCTACAGGGTTATAATAACTTTTTTTTTATAATTAAATAGTATTTTATTTATCATTAAGTTTTTGTGATATCCATTTTTTTGATCTTAGTATTTCCTAGAAAATATAAAATTTGTTTATAACAAATGTTATCTATATATACAGATAAATGAGTTCCTAAAGAATTGAATATTAGTATATATTTAAGATTGAGATGGAAAGAAATTAAAAAAAAAATATGAAATAAAATAAAATAAAATAATATTAAATAAATTCATAAAATATAATTTTTTTTAAATTTTAATTAATTTTTTTTCATTGACGAGTTAGTATGTTTAGGGGTGTGCAAAATAACCAAAAACTGAACCGAACCATAAATAGAACCGAATTGCCCTTTAAAATAACCAGTTTTTAAAAATCAGTTCATGAACCGAACCGGTTATTAAAGAACCAGTTCATGAGCCGAATCGGTTTTTAGAACCAGTTTAAGAACCGAACCGGTTTTTAGAACCAGTTTAAAAACAGAACCATTTTGAACCGAACCAAACCGAACCGTTTTCAAACCGAACCAAATTGATTTTTATAACTTTATTTTTTAAATTTTAAAATTTTTTTCTTTTCAAAAGAGGGTCGACCCGAACTGGTTCCGAACCGAACCGTTTCCGAACAGGTTTCGAACCGAACCGTTTTCAACCGAACCGAATCACTTTCGAACCAAACTAGTTTTGAACCGAACGGAACCACTTCCGAACGGAACCATTTAAACCAATTCGGTTCGATTTTTTAAAAAAACCGGTTCGGTTCGACCCATGCACATCCCTAAATATGTTAACCCACTAACCCATCATAAAATAAAATGAATTTATTTTTTTAAACCATATTTAATGAAGGATGAACCCACCTCGTATGATAATGACGGGGTGTATTGAGATATATAGTCCCACATTGGTTGTATGTGCAACTAATGTGAAGTTTATAAGGTCTTAGGCACTCCTACCCTTTGAGCTAGTTTTTGGGGTGGTGTATCCCAAGGTTCTTTACATGGTATCAGAGCCTCGCCGCCCCCCACTTTCTCTTGTGGCGTTTCTTAGCACAGGTAGGCTGGGCCTGTTGCATTGTCCACTCTTCAAACCCAATGAACTCTCGTGTGAGGGGGGTATTGAGATATATAGTCTCACATTGATTGTATGTGCAACTAATGTGAAGTTTATAAGGCCTTGGACACTTTTATTTTTTGAGCTAACTTTTAGAGTAGTGTATCCCAAAATTCTTTAGGGTGAAACGACCAATTCATATTATCAGCTCCACTAGAACAAATCCCAAACTTTATTTACATATTGCATCACGAATGAAACTCACCAAATCCTTCATAAACTGTACTGATTGACTAATTGACAATTTTTTTTTTTTATCATATTATAACTCCGCCCATGTGTGCTTGCATGCATGGCCTGTCCCAAGCCAGGATAAAGGAGGAGGGTTGGCGTCATGTGTTGCGAATCGGCCGTAAAAAATAGCTATATTTTTATGTGATGAACTTATATGATTTTTCGTTGGGGTGTACCCTTCATAGCGACGCGTTGCATCGGGCCTCGGGTGTAGCGAAAAATGGGCTAGGGTCCTTGCCATAAGGCAAGGCGCTGCATCGGGCCCGGGGTGTAGTGAAAAGTGGGCTAGGGTCCTTGCCCCAAGGCAAGGCGCCAGGTCTTCACCCGGATTTGGGGAGAAGTATGCCAGGGTCCCAACACGCAGATGGGCGAGCGTGGCGGGCAAGCACAACCCAGGGGTTAAGGATGAGATTGGGAAGCTGGAACATAGGAACCTTAACGGGTAAATTGAGGGAGTTGGCAGATGTTTTTGCTAGAAGGAAAGTGAATATTGTTTGTTTGCAAGAAACTAAGTGGGCTGGAGAAAAGGCCAAGGAAGTGGATGGAACTGGTTTCAAGTTATGGTACACAGGTGCGAACAAGAGTCGAAATGGTGTTGAAATTATGATCGATAAAAGTTTCAGAGATAAAGTTGTGGACGTCAAAAGGAAAGGCGACGGGATTATTCTGGTTAAGCTTGTTGTGGGTGACTTAATCCTGAATATCCTCAGTGTGTATGCACCCCAAATTGGATTGCAACCAACTGATAAAAGCCAATTTTGGGAAGACTTGGAGGAGGTTTTGAGGGGAATACCTCGAGAGGAGAAGATTTTCGTAGGAGGAGATCTAAATGGTCATGTTGGTAAAAGCAATGGAGGTTTTGATAGAATCGATGGAGGTTTTGGCTATGGGACGAGAAACGAGACTGGAGAAGATATCTTGAATGTTGCACTAGCCTACGATTTGATGTTAGTGAACACCTTTTTTCAAAAAAGGGAGTCACACCTAATCACTTTTCATAGTGGCCATAATCTTAGTCAGATTGATTTCTTTCTGGCTAGAAGAGAAGATAGAACTTCTTGTGTCGAATGTAAGGTCTACCCTGGAGAGTGTGTCGCTACGCAACATAAGCTGGTAGTCTTGGATGTTCGGTTCAACAAAGTACGTACAATGAAGAAGAGGGCTCAGAATCCAAGGATAAGGTGGTGGAAGCTTAAGGAGGGAAAAGAGAGAGAGTTCAATGATAGAATGTTGCACGAAGGACCTTGGGAGTTTGATGGAGGAGTAAATGCAACATGGAATGAGATGGCTAAGTGTATTCAAAATTTGGGAAGGAGAGTGTTGGGAGAAAGCAAAGGAAATGGATTTCATACAAAGGAAACATGGTGATGGAATGGAGAGGTGCAAGAGGCAATTAAACATAAGAAGGAGTGCTTTAGATCTTTGCATAAAAGTCCCAGTGCAGAGAACCTGCAAAAGTTTAGATTGGCGAGAAAAAATGCAAAGAAAGCAGTGCGAGAAGCTAGAGGCAAGGTTTTCGACGAGTTGTATAAAAATCTTGGGAGCAAGGATGGTGAAAGAGGTATTTATAAACTTGCAAAGATAAGGGATAAGAAAAGTAAAGACCTCACCCAAGTTAGATGCATCAAGGATGAAAATCAAAAACTTCTGGTGAGAGATGAAGAAGTAAATGAAAGATGGTTGAAATACTTCAACAAGTTGTATAATGGGGATGGAGATACAAGCGAGGTGGACTTAGAGGACGCGTATGATGATATGAATAGAAGATTTGTACGCAGAATTAATACACATGAAGTTAAGGAGGCTTTAAAGAGGATGGAGACTAATAAAGCCTTAGGGCCTGATGGTGTCCCTATTGAAGTGTGGAGAGGCCTGGGGGATGTGGCAATAAAATGGTTGACCAATCTTTTTAATAAGATTCTCCAGACGAATAAGATGCCTGATGTATGGAGGAAAAGTATGATTGTGCCTATCTACAAAAACAAGGGAGATATACAAAATTGTTCAAACTATAGTGGCATTAAGCTAATGAGCCATACTATGAAGTTGTGGGAGAAGGTTATTGAACATCGCTTGAGGAGAGATACCAAGGTTTCTGTAAATCAATTTGGATTTATGCCAGGAAGATGTACCATAAAAGCAATTTTCTTGATGCGACAACTAATGGAAAGATACCGAGAAAAGAAAAAGGACTTGCATATGGTGTTCATAGACCTTGAGAAAGCATACGATAGGGTTCCAAGGAAAGTTTTATGGTGGGTCCTGGAGAAGAAAAAGGTTCCATTAAAGTATGTAAAGGCAATCAAGGATATGTATGATGGGGCTACTACATGTGTAAAAGCTTGTAACGGATCATCAAGTTATTTTCCTATCACGGTAGGTGTACACCAAGGGTCGGCTCTAAGTCCTTACCTCTTTGCCTTAGTTATGGATGAACTAACGAAAGATATTCAAGAGGAAGTGCCATGGTGTATGCTTTTTGCAGACGATATTGTGCTTATTGATGAGAGCAAGGAGGGTGTTAATAGAAAACTTGAATTGTGGAGAAGCACATTGGAATCCAGAGGATTCACATTAAGTCGAAGCAAGACTGAGTATCTGAAGTGTGAGTTTTCTCTGGTACGAGATGAGGAAAACTTACTTGGGGGAAAGTAGTAAAACAAGATTTACTGGAGTGAGATATAGATTGGCGGACAGTATGTCTTAGAACGGAATGGAGAAAAGCTATAAGTATGGTGGAAGGTTAGACCCGCTGTTATTCCTATGTTCCAGATGGTCCCTTTTTAGTCATTTTCCCCTTCATTTCCCCCACTTCTTCTTGTCCCTTTCTTTTTTACTTTTATTTATTTATATATACATATATTGTTATTTTATTTTATCTTATTTTATATTTTTATTTTATTTGTTTATTTTTATTTATTTATTTATTTTTTGCTTTTTTACTTTTTTTTATTTTTTTTAACTTTTTTTTCAACCGTTTTGTATCTTTCATGTGGGTTCATCTACCACCGACCTCAATTAATTTGGGATAAATGTGTTGTTGATGTTGATATTGATGTTTTTTTATCATATTATGAGCGTGCATCACATCATCACTTCATCACCCAATTATTTTTTTGTTTTGCTTTTGAAAAAGAGAAAGAGAGGCGTGGAGAATCATCTAATAGAACATCCTAGTCCCCAGTAGAAAATACCCAACCTATTTTATAATTGTACATTTTAATTATACCTTATAAAATACATGCAAATTATTAGATGCATAACTTTATCCTATGTAATTATTTTTCAACAACACATAATCCAACTTTTTTCTTAAGCTTAACAAATAAAGTTACAAAATATGTGATAACAACATATGAACGCAAATCCAGTAACGCGTTCGTCATTTTCTTTTTCATCTTATTTTTATTATGATAAGTTCTCAGCGGTCTCTTATTTTTAATAATGAATTAACCATAATATTACATTAAGGTTGTATAAATCTAAATGATAAATATATAATCATTAATTAATCTCTTGGTATGATGAAGAAGAAAAAATAATATGAACATTTTAATTAATAAGTAACACATTCTCACTGTCACGTGACATTTTCCGTCAAAATCATCGTCCCTAAAAAAGAAATAACGAAGCTTCTAGTAATAAAAAATTGTATTTAAACCAAACCCCACACCACACAACACAAACCGCAAAGTTTGGACTTATTACGTTACCTTTGCAACATTTGTGTCGTTGGTTGCGTCTGACACAGACACGGAGAGAAAGAGAGAGGTATGTACCATGAAGTACGATGTTTGAAGTGTCTAATAATATTATAAGTATTCATATGTGATGTTTATGTAGGAGTATGAATCATTGTTAGTTAGTTAGTTAGTTACTACTTACTAGGTTTATATTTGATGTTTGGTTTTGATATTGAATCTGAATTTTGTGGGAAACAAAAAAAAAAACGCAGATGGGTAGCTCAGGTTTCTCATGGAAATTGGTGGATCATACAAAGCTTCCAAAGGGTAAGACGGTGGCTGTGGTGGTTTTGGACGGTTGGGGAGAGGCCAATCCCAGTGAGTATAACTGCATCCACATTGCTGAAACACCCACCATGGATTCCTTTAAAAAGGTACATAATTGCCCTTGTTGGATTGAATCTACGTTTATAGAGATCAAAGATCCATTGAAATTATGAAATGATTATAGCTCAATTGGCGTCAGAAAACTTAGTGGGTGAGAGTGAGAGCACGTGTTTAATCCTCCTCAATACAATTTTTGGGAGAGGTTTAAAGCCTTAATCCCCGGACCTATTCCGAGCGGACTAGTCCCGAAGCGATGAACCGATTGAAATATTAAAAAAAAAAAAGATCCATTGATATTTGGGTTTCCCTGAAAATGAAATGAAAAGGGGTTCTTCTGATTTCTTGCAGGGTGCCCCTGAAAGGTGGAGATTGGTTAAGGCCCATGGTAAAGCCGTAGGGCTTCCAACAGATGATGACATGGGCAATAGTGAAGTTGGTCACAATGCACTTGGTGCTGGTCGTATATATGCTCAGGGGTACACTAAAACTACCCTCTCATCTTCATCTATTTAGCCTTTGCCCCATATGATTTAATGGAGATCATATACTACTTGTCATTTTTTTTTAAGATATACTGATGTTTTCGTATTAGGGCTTGGTCTTTGATGTTTCTTGAATTATGTTACTGGTGTTTCTAGATTTACAATAGCTATAAACTCGAACCATTCTTGTTTCTTGTAAACGTTTTGATTTGCTGTGCCTGTCATTCTTTTATGTCATGGATCCGGCTTAAGATTTTCACAATGTCTTGCTCTGCATTGTTCCTTGAGTTATCCTCAATGCAGTGGCGGAGCCACTTGACACCAGCTAATTTTAAAAAATGGCACAGATTTTTTTAAAAAATTATGGTACAACCTTAGTACTGGTTGAGTTTAAAAAAATAATACAACCTTGGAACTGACTGAATTCTACCTAGTGCGTCTTTTGGCACTGACTGAGTTTTTCTTCTTGCTCCGCCACTGCCTCAATGTGATCAATAACTACAAATGTGCCTCATTCTCTTGTCGAGTTTAGTTTTTGGATGCAACACAATAATCAACAATAACTTTGTGGCCTTTTCTTATTGTATATCACTTTTTGCAAGGATTTTGTATTCTTATGTTTCGGTGGACATTGTGTCGTATAATTTCAATGAGTTTCTATGGTGGAATTAGGATTTACCATTGCACGCTTATTATCTTGAGATGTTTAATTATGATCTTCCCTATTAGCTCTGCTATTTGGTCTTTTGCTTTTCTTGTCTTAATTATATTACTAGCATCTGTGACGTTTGGGATATCTTGGTCTGTGATTATTCATTTTAGTGCAAAGCTTGTTGACCTTGCTCTAGCCTCTGGAAAAATTTATGAAGGAGAAGGTTTCAAGTACATAAAGGAATGTTTTGAAAATGGAACATTGCATCTCATTGGGTTACTGAGTGATGGTGGAGTTCACTCCAGACTTGATCAGTTGCAGGTAATTATTCTGGCTTCGAACTTTTGTTTCTTCATGCCTATAAAACTGATTCTTTCTAACTAACTATTTTTGTACAGTGGTTGCTTAAAGGGGTTAGTGAGCGAGGTGTTAAAAGAGTCCGTGTCCATATTCTTACGGATGGCCGTGATGTTTTGGATGGCTCAAGTGTGGCATTTGTGGAAACCCTTGAAAATGATCTTGCGAAATTGCGTGAGAAAGGTATTGATGCAAAGATAGCATCAGGTGGAGGTCGCATGTATGTCACAATGGATCGCTATGAGGTATTATATTCAATGGTCTGGAAATGACCTTCAATTTTCATAAGTCAGGCAACTTTCATTACTTCTATATGGATTTTAGTTATAAACTTGCAAATTTACACTTCTTTTTTTTCCCTCTGTTTGTTTGTACACAAGACAACATTAATTTCTTAAAAAATGGGATAGGTGTTAACAGCAATTATAATATTTATAAATTTAAAGATAGTTCACTGTATGGTGCCTGATTACATTTGTGAGTTGAGTTCTGCATCTGACTTCTCTTAAAATTCCAACACTTTTGGGTCCAAGATAGTGGTCATCAGATATAGCAGTGACCATTCCAGTGTTTCACTTTGAATTTGGCTTAGTATTTTATCATCTCATGCTGGTACTTAACCTGCATCATTGAACTTTAACTAGTTTTTTCCGCTGATTTTTGTGTATCTATGAATCTACTATACACCAACCAATTTTATTATTGCCTCTGAAGTTTGGCAAAGGAAAAAAAAAATGATTCATGCAGTGAATCATGACTGCCTTCACTAAGGTTTCAGGTTATGGGTGGAAGTGTTGTTAAATCGTTTATTTATTTATTTTGGGCGTGAAAACATTGAAGTTATGAGATTACCTTTTTGTGGTTAACTTTGTATTTTCAAATTCATTTCGTTATATACATCAAAGAAATAAGCTTGACTTGAAATATTTGTGTGTGTGTGTGTTTTTCTGTTATATATGAATCAATGATTTCAAAACAAACTGCAGAATGATTGGAATGTTGTGAAACGAGGGTGGGATGCTCAAGTTCTTGGTGAAGCCCCTCATAAGTTTACAAGTGCTCTTGAAGCTGTCAAGAAACTGAGGGCAGAACCAAAAGCCAATGACCAGTATCTGCCTCCTTTTGTTATCGTTGATGAGAAAGGGAAGCCTGTTGGTCCAATAGTTGATGGTGATGCTGTTGTTACATTCAACTTCCGGGCAGATCGTATGACTATGATTGCTAAGGCTCTTGAATATGAAAATTTTGACAAATTTGATAGAGTTCGATACCCTAAAATCCACTATGCTGGAATGCTTGAATATGATGGTGAATTGAAGCTTCCAAGTCATTACCTTGTTTCTCCACCAGAGATTGAAAGGACTTCTGGTGAATATTTAGTGAATAATGGTATTCGAACTTTTGCTTGCAGGTGAGTTATCACTACTTTAATCTTTAGTAGGATTTTTATGATATTGTAATACTTCCATGCAAATACTTAAATTTTCTACATGCTATTCTATTCTTGATGAATGTTTTGGAACTATGTAATGCATAAGAAGTCATTATATTTGTTTTTCTTGGCTCAACCTAGTGGACAAATGTTTCTCATTTTTGAGCCCTTTCCACTAGGGTTAATAATTAATAAGATAACAATTTTGTGTGGGGGAGAAATAGGAGGTAGAAATTCATATCTCCTTTATGAAAGTAATGTTTACATTAGGCAATCTTCAGTATCTATAACTTATGCTTCTTTGTCAACAGTGAAACTGTTAAATTTGGTCATGTCACATTCTTCTGGAATGGAAACCGCACTGGGTATTTTAATTCAGAATTGGAGGAATATGTCGAAATTCCTAGTGACTCTGGGATTACATTCAATGAACAACCAAAAATGAAAGCATTGCAGATTGCTGAAAAGGCAAGGGATGCTATTCTTAGCCGGAAATTTGATCAGGTAATTAATAATGTAGGTTATGAGGTGATTTTGGTTATCATGGTGTTATTAAAATTTTAGTTACTCTTATTCTGTTTGTTGCATAGGTACGTGTCAACATACCAAATGGTGATATGGTGGGGCATACAGGTGACATTGAAGCAACAATTGTGGCTTGCAAGGCAGCTGATGATGCTGTGAAGGTATGAACGTCAATTTTCAAATTTGCTGGAGCATTTATGCAAATAATATGTTTTCTGAACTTGGCTGAAAATTTGAGAATTCTTTGTCATTATATAGGTTTTTATTTCATGAGTAAAAGCGGTGCAAGGGTGATTAACAAGTAATAAAAAGTGAAAATGTTTGATTTGTATAAGGGGTGATTCTAGTGAAAAAGCTAATCTTATGCGAGAAATGACAGGAGTGAATCTTTTGTTTGATTTGTATGAAAAGTTCAGCTTTAAGACATCAAGACATGCAACTCAGTAGATTTGTCTCTTTCTCTCTCTCTCTCTCTCCCGTAAAATGAGTAGGTTATGTTAAGAACTACAATGAGAGGATCCAAATTCCATCTTTCCCATTTTTGGTATATTATTTGGTCAACAGAAAGTATTCATATCACATGTCCCTTTTTCTTGTCCTACCACTAAAATTGTTCCCTAGACATTGAAGATGAGGTTTTTTTTCCTTTTCATGTTATAATTACAAAATATTTAGCTTTTGTGGTTAATTTGGTTTATTCATATCAAATAGCTTTATGTTCCACTTAATTTCTTCTTCTTAAGGAGGGAAATGAGCAAATGCCTTCTGATGCTATTGCCAATTAAGCCATTAGTGCAAGAAAAAAAAAATTATATCCTAAAATGAAACAAACAAGAGAGCTGAAGGCTAAATAGCTATTCATTGTATTAATTAATGTGTATTTTCATATGTAATTGCAGATGATTATTGATGCAATAGAGCAAGTGGGTGGAATTTATGTTGTCACTGCTGACCATGGAAATGCAGAGGATATGGTCAAGAGGGATAAATCTGGAAAACCTCTTCTTGACAAGAGTGGAAATATCCAGATTCTTACTTCCCATACTCTTCAGCCTGTAAGTTTTACAAATTATAGTCATTCATTGATGAGAACTTTACATGAGATACAATATTCTATCTGCTTTCAATGAGTTATGGATGAATCTCTAGGAAATCATTGTTAGTGTTATAACAAAGGTTCCTTGTTAATTAATTTGGACAAATGTCTCAAAATAAAGGCCTATTATCAAAATGGCCTTTATTCAAGCAGTTCAAATAAAGCATTCATATATGGTCTTTTCTTACTATAAAAACTACGCGTCATGAAACTCCGACTTGTGAGAGTAGGGGTAAGGGAAATCCTTATACACAATCTTATTTTTATATTTTTGGCAAAGAACGTGTGACCTTTCGAACCCTTTGCGTATGTGGGCTTTTCTTACTATGTACTTGCATAATCCTTATTGACAACCAAGCTTAATTTTAGTTCTAAATCTCTCATACTTTTCCTTGCTGGTTAAGGTGCCAATTGCCATTGGAGGACCTGGATTGTCACCAGGTGTCAGGTTTCAAAATGATGTTCCAAATGGTGGGCTGGCCAACGTTGCTGCAACTGTGATGAATCTTCACGGATTTGAGGCTCCCAGTGACTATGAGCCAACTCTTATAGAAGTAGTTGATAAGTAGGAAACCAATAGAAGAGTTATAATGTACAAAAATTTATGAAAGGCTGTGGCTTACAGCCTTAAAATAATTAGAAGTTTTCATCCCTCCACATGTATTGTGGGGTTTTGTTCTTATGAATTGGATCAGTCTGCAGTTGGCAGGACAATACAACTAATTAATGCTATTTTGAGTGCAGTTCTTTTCCTTTAGCCTTCTTTGTGCAGAATAATAGTTTTTTTTTTTTTTGAGATATTCCAATCGGTTCATCGTTTCGCGACTAGTCCGATTCGTGATGGGTCATGAGATTAAGTCTTTAAATCCCTCCCAAAGACAATATTGAGGAGGATCGAATACATGCCTTCACTCCCATTTGCTCAGTTTTCTGGCACCCATTAAGCTACTATCATTTGGTTTGTGCTGAATAATAGTTCAATCAGGTTATTTGTGATTGGCTTTGTCAACCTGCAAGGCCATCTCTAAATCATGCTTGTGAAGTGTGATGTCTGGAATACCTTTAGGGGGTGTTTGGTTCAAGTTTTTGGAGAGGATTACCGGTAATCCTTCTTTGGTAAATGTAATTACCACGTTTGGTAGAAGGAATAAATTACGATTCCCGGATATCTAAGGATTACCGGTAATTTGATTTATAAAGAAAAGTCACTATTCAGATTACCAAAAATAATATGGTAATTCGGAATACCAATCAGAATACCAAGTAAAGGGAAAGCACAACAATAAATTTTGAGACAAAAATACCCCAATACACATAAAAATCTAGACCCAATCTATCAATTACAAAAGTAAAAATAGTTTGGGGTTATTTTTGTAAAATAACTCATATTCCAAGTCATATTTCGTTCTAAACCAAATATGGAATCAGTAATTTTTACCCAGTATTCCCGGTAATATTTTGGCGAACTAAACACATCTTTCGTAGGATTCCAAGTAAACTCAATTTCTACTGAATTCCCATTAATCATGATTCCCGGTCACCAAAAAATTTCTCCTGTACCAAACACACCCTTACTGGCTGATGATTTGTGTGTTCTCATGTTGATGTTGATGAGGGGAGATATATCTTTTATCTTCATGATTCATGCTTTGCAAAACTTGCATCTTGTTCAAGTTCTAATGAAAATCTTATTGAAAGAATAATATGACCATAGAAATGGTTGTTCCTCGTTATAAACCAATTAATTGCATTGGAAATTTGGAATACACTTGATTCCTCTAAAATGTTTTTACGGTCAAGTCCATTTGTATCAAATTTAAAACCTTAAACTTTAAAAATAAGCATATTTTTTTGGTAATTAAAAATAAGCATTTTACCCCATTAAAAAAGGGATGGTAGATTAAAGTTAAACTCCAAATCGGGCCTAAAAAGATCGACAATACGTGTGTAAATGAATGATTTATAATTTGTTGGAATATTCCAGAGTGTTATACAATGAATGCCAAAACCGTTAACCTTAGGCCCTATGTTATGGATGATGTGTGCGCATCATAATCATGTGATAAGGGAGTGAGGGGAACATTAAATGATAGAAGATATTTTGTTTTGTAATGAGATATGGTGGATTCGACTCTCATCTAGAACAACTATATATTATTTTAATAAATTGTAAAAACATTCGGCATTTTGATAAATTAATTAGAGCTAGCATTAATTAAGTAAATGAAATGCATTTAAGTTTAGATTGCAATATACACATTCAAGGTGGGTGGTATCTTGTATTCTTACGGGGTGAGAATGAGAAAATTTTACATAATTTATACGACATAAATAATTTTACTTTAATATTTTTATGAATAAAATATTCTTTTTTCCTTTCCTGCCGCTTCAACTCACTGAATAAACGCAGAGGTATGTGCAGTCACTAGTTTAATGATTAAAATTTTAAGGTATGCGGAGTTACTAGTTAAGGTTTAAGAGTTTTCTTCTTGTCCAAAAAAAAAAAGGTTTGAAAGTTTTCTATAATTTTTTTTTTTTTTACCAACAATAATTCATCAGCTTCATAGGCTAGTTAACTGTACTCCTAAAGATTAGTTTTATAAAATCAAAATATTTGAGCTAATATTCATGAGAATATTTTGATCTACCAAACAGTTTTTTTATAACATTCCTAAGAAATTTGCTTTTTTAATATATTCCTCAAAATTGTGATTATCAGGAACATGATAATCCAACCAAAAAACTTTATCATGTTTTTGTTAGTTTTAATTTATTTATATGACTATACAAATATACAGAATATGAATAATAATTTTTACAAATTAATATTGAAAAATTCTTCATTTATATGACTTTTAGTCAGATATTGTTCACTATATTACTTTTAAGTTAACAAATATATTTAACTTTTCTAAAACTACATATATTGTTTCATTTAATTTTTAGACAAATCGATTTTCAACCAAAAGTTATTTTTATGGTGTTTTGATTTAAAACACTTTTCAAAATTTCTACCAAAAAAGAAACATTTTAAAATAATAATTATAAGTTAATCCAAATTATTATCCCTATAATGGAAGAATCAAACTTTAAGACACGTTTTATGGTTAACCAAGTATTAGATTTATTTATTTTTTGAGGGTACAACCAATTATTAGAATATAAGTAAATTATTCGAATACTTAAAAAACTACAAACTATTCTTTCGCCTTTTACTAAAAAAACTACAAACAGGTTTTTGGAGTCATTATCCCAAAGAGAAATATAAAAATATGCCACTAGATAAAAAAGAAAAAGAAAAAAGAATCTTATCCCTTTCCTCTTTTCAATCACAAGCATAATTCTAAAAACTGGTCTGGTTAGATCAAATCATCAAACCTAATACCCAGTATGGTTCAATTTATATAATAATTTTCTTCACGAGCGGTGAACTAATCAAACCGTTATGTGACCAAAACATGGCCACTAAACACAAGAAACAAAAAAGGGGAATATTAATCTTATGTTACATGAGTATTATCTCATGTTATAGAGAGAGTTTAAGTGGGGTCCACCATTAAAAAGTAAAAAAGAAAAAGAAAAAAGAAGGGGTGCGATTTTCGATGTGATAGAAAATGAGATAACTACCTCATGTAAAATGAGAGTAGTATTTCCCAACAAAAAAAGGTTGAAGCAAAATATTCAGTATTATATGGTTACATAAACTCCAGCACATCCATTATGTGACAAAAATAGCAGCAGCATAACAATGGGGTCTCCTTAATTCCTAGAAAACTATTAGAACAAAAAAGTAGCGGCATAACAAAGAACACTAGAATGACCCATGTAGTTTGCCCTTTTTTGCCTCCATCCCACATTGTCCCCTTTGAATTCCAGGATGAACTAATAATACAAGTAATATGTTTCATTATCTGCCTCAAAATTCTATGAGTAGTAATTGCATTCACTATACAGAAACTATTAAGGCCAAACCTCTAAGACCACCTAAAACTCAGTAAAAGAAAAGCATGCATATCAATTTTTCCAGAACTCCTCCTTGTTTCACTCTTTTACTAGTTTTTCTTGCACAAACTATGAAATACACAACTGCAAAGTGCTAGATTACAGTTTCATATCAACTAATGCTTTAATGCTGAGGCACTATATATCTCATCACCAAAAGCACATTGTCACTAGTTAGACCATACATGAACTAGACCATGCCTGTTACCAGTATATATCTCATTTCGATCTTCGTCGTAAAAGAGGGCTGTTATGTCCTCCAAAGCCTCTGCAACTGAACTCCTTAGTTGGGATGAATGACTCAGCTTGCAGCTGCAAGCAGTATTTCTGCACTCATCTACCTTGAAGCTGCTATTTGTTGCATCAATTTTAGCCACACATTTCCCACTCAAGATATTGCTGATATTTATGGAACCAGCTGTTCAAGAAATCAATCATAATGATATAAAATCACTTCAACAAATTAAAAGCTATTTATGATTATTCCTAGGGATGTAAATAGGTTGGGCCAGACTAGGCTTTGGTCTAAATAGATCAGACCTATTCAAAATGTTTTAAATCTGGCATAGCCTAGTGTAGGCTACATTATAGGTTTGGCCTGACTTATATTTGACAATCAAATACCCAGCCTAGGCCTATTAACCTGTTTAAGCCTTCAATAACAATCAAAATTAGAACAAAATATATAAAATAATTTTTTATTAATTAAAATTATAAATATATTCATTTTACTTTATATTAATCAAAATAAATAATACGATATAGATTGACCTATAGGCTTGTAAGCCAATCTTTGTAAAAGTAGACCTACGTCCTGTTTTCTAAACAAGTTTTTTAAGGCCCAAGTTTGTTTTATTTTACTAAATATTCTAGGTAGGGCCTGCCCTGGCATAGGTCGGGCCATAGACCCTTGGTAGGTCGCCTACCCCATTTACAACCGTAATTATTCCATTCAGAATTCAAAGAACAATCAAGCTCAAAGACAATTACCATTGCCTTCCATCCATTGATCATCAGAATCAGCCTTGCAGTAAGAGATAATGAGATCCTGATCACTAGTTATGTATATGTTATTTGTATTGCAATCTGGATGCCATAACAGGTGATCCTCAAATGAAGTAACAAGTTCCCCACGAAAGTTCCAAACAGCAACTGTTCGATTTCTGAAAGTAAGGAACAACTGATTCTCGTACAGAAAGATAAATGCCGATGGAGTCATGAACTCAGTCTTGCTTACCTCCATAAGTTCAGCATTTCGAACCTATGAACAAAAGGAATTACACAAACAGACATGAAAGTACTAACAGATATAAAAAATTTAACAGCAAAGGCCAAATGAAGCTTACATCAAGAATCTGAAGGTTCTCATTTTCTTGCTTGACTAGAAGCTTTTCATTAAATTGCTCTATGAAGTCCACTTTTTTATTCCGATGAAGTAGATGGTTAAATGATTTGAGAACTGTGCCATCTTCAATGGATATAATCTTAAGGGGAATATGGCCACTGGCTCTATGGAAAATTAATAACATGATGCCAGGACTGTAACAAAAGATCAAGTAATAAATTAAATAAATTGTTGTAACAGTTCGGCATCCACTAAAACAAAATATTTCCTGCAATTATTGTAATTATTATTAATAATTTTTTTTATTAATTACCGCCGATTAGATGTTTTCTTAGGCAAATAATTATTTAGCTAGGTTTATATTTTGGAATAAAACCATGTAGTGTAATTTAATTCAGAACTAATATTCAGTCTTTTTTCATCCCGATCTTGGACACTCTTGCTTCCGCAAATTAACCCTTACCTAGCTTCGTTGCATCCTTCATAGCAACTGCCTTCAGTGTGGCTGGTCTCCTCCCTTTGTTTGTGCCTTCATTTGCTCTGAATTCCGCTAGCGCATTCAGCCATCGCTGACCATCGCCATTTGCTACCACAGCTTCTCTGACTGGTGGCCCTGTCAACTAGTTCGCCATGCCTAGACCGTCTATCTACCAAATACCCCCTGCAAGCAGCCCAGTCACATGATTTCAAGCATGCCCTGATCCTAAGTGCGTCAAATTCATACGCCGCTGCTCATACCAGGTGTGACAGCATCCAGCCGCTGGATATAATCAGCTCAACCTGGCTTTCTTTATCCTGATTTGCCCTCATCCGGTCCACACAGCACCACCTGCGAGCTCTTTCTCTCATCTCCTCCATGACCCAACCAAATCATTCACCTACTGTCACCATCTGAGACTCTGAGACAACCCACAACTCTACCATTGCCCACTCCATCATGTCCAATACCATGCCACTCACTCCCAATCACCTACCAGTCTTGCATCCTACCTATCTCCTTATAGGAAAAAATTCTTTACAATGGGCCCAAGTCATTCATACTACCCTTGAAGGACGACAGAAACTAAACTACATTGAATGAAAAGGCCCTAGTTAGACAGGCCCAAAGTTTGATGAGTGACATGATGAAGACTCCCTTATCATGACATGGCTACGGAATTCTATAATGTTGGAGGTTAGTTGGAAGTGTATATTCTAGCCCACTGCCCATGAGATTCGGGATACCCTCCCTAAGACTAATTTCATGAAACAGGATATAACCACTTGTTATGAGTTAAAAACCATAAATTTTCTACCAAACAGGGAACCCTCTTTGTTAAAGATTACTATGGGATCCTTAATGGGTTATAGATTGAACTAGATCAATATCAGAATATGAATATGGAGTGCAGCAATGATGCTTCCACTTTAGCTTTGTTGAAAGAGACCTCATCTTTGAGTTCTTCTCAGGTTTGAACTCCGGGTATGGTCCTATTAGGATTCAATTCTGGAAAAGGGGAAACTTCTGCCTCTCTACAAGGTCATCTACACTATTCGAGGAGAAGAAAGCCATAAGTTTGTCATGCTGGACAACAAACCAGTGATGGATCAGCTTTGATAACAGGCAAGTCTACAAAGCCAGGTAAGACTACTTCCAAGTCCAACAAGGACGCACCTATTGTAAGAAATCTGGCCACACAAAGGAGAGCTTTAAGCTCCATGGGAATGACCGGGTTCTATGTTGCTTAGGAGGAGTCAAAGGTATTCAACACAGCTAGCTCAGTCTGACCTCTTCAGATTCTATGACTACGGGTGAGGTCCCAAAGGTGGCAGATTACAAAGAAATAAGAAGATAAGAGGTCCTACTCCTTAAAAAAAGAAAAAACAACCAAGAGAGAACAAAGAAAACCCTTTAAAAGGACATGTGCTTTACACCAAACAGCAGCCAAATCTCCTTAAAGATGAGAGTTCGCTCCAACCAAATGCACCACAGTGTAGCATAAATTACACAGTGCCACAAAAATCTAGCTTCTTTTCTTTACTTCTATCAAAACTAGTAACACTAGTTAACTTATCTAGTCCAAGGACCTAGGGCACACCCAACATTCTCCAAAATTGCCAAACAAAGAATTCCATAAAGAAATAGCTATAGAGTGATTCTTAGCTAGTACCACACATAACACATATAAGGAGAAGTAGCCTTATGTGGCCTACAAACCTGTAGCATGTCTTTGGTATTAATTCTATTAAGCAAAGCTTTCCAAATACAAGACATAACCTTAAGGGGAGTTGGACTTCCAAATAGGTTTATCAAGATGATACTATATTCAATGAATCAATTCGTAATTGAATAAAAGGTTTGCATGAAAACATCCTTAGAAGGATCGAGGGACCAAATCCTTTTATCTAGATTATACAACAAGAGAACAAAGTCAAGGAGACCCAAGAGTGTCTCCAATTCAGAGGATTCCCTACAAATTAAGTTACAAAATTAAAAAGGAAATCCAATAAAGGAGTGGAGTATTGAACACTAAAATTGTGGATAGGAGAATTGCATAAGGAAGATTGATGATAAGTTTTGGGAAAGCCAAACTAAAAGGGGAACATCCTACCCAATAGCTCTGCCAAAAGTTAACCTGAGAACCATTACATACCTTGAAGGAAAGTAATGACTTAAAGGTAGTATAACCATGTGAGATAAATTTTCATGGACTAAAATGAGAAGCTCTTATCTACTAAAAACAAATGTCTGGTTGCTATACTGTGTCCCACCAATTTTGGTCTAATCCATACCCCAAATAACCAAATGCCAAAGGGGGTGAGGTTCCAGAGGAACATGCCAAAGCCATTTACCTGCCAGAGCAATGTTCTCGGAGACCAAATTGTGAAGAACCAAACCCCATCCTTCTTAGGGAAATAACACACATCCCCAGTCACCAAGTGGTCATGTCCCATATTAGTAGCACCCTACCGAAGAAAATCCCTCATAATCTTCTATGTTATTAGTAACTGTCTAGGATATGAAATAAAGATAAGTAGTAGAGATGAATGCTAGAAAGACATGTCTGGATGAGGGTAATCCGATCCCCTACAGAAAAGTAAGACCCTTTCCAACAGTCTAGGTGCTTAGATATCTTCATAACAACTGGGTCCCAAAAAGAAACAGCTCTTGGGTTATCACCCAAGGGAACTCCTAAGTAAACAAGAGGCCACTCCAAAATCCGATAACTTGCCACAGCTTTGATAGAAGAGAAAGTTTCAGAATCTACAATAATACAAGCCAAACCTTAAATAGAGAGAGCACTCATGATACTCTCCACATAACTTTGGTGCCATCAGCAAACTGCAAATGAGAGACTACTACCCCTTCTGAGCCCACTACAAATGAGAGACTACTACCCCTTCCGAGCCCACTATGGATCTTTTAATAGACCTTCAAACAGTTGCTCTAGAAATAAGACGACTAAGTCCATCCACCACCAAAGTGAACAAAAATGGAGATAAAGGATCTCCTTACCTCATATTCCACTGACTGTGAAACCAAGCTTTTGGCTTTCCATTTACAATTATAAAACAGGTATGAGATGAGAGAAATCCTGAAATCCAATTTCTCCATCTAAAGGAAGACCCCCTTTTTCTATAAAACCTTATCAGTAAGGTTCCTCAACATCCATTTCAAGCACTTGACCTTTTTTAACCTTTTCCTCACATCACCAAACACTTCATTGACAACCAAAGCAGCATATAAGATCTGTCTATGTGCAAGAAAAGCACTCTGATTCTCAGAAATAGAGTCTTCCAACACCTCATTCGCACAGATAGAATGGATCTTTGTAATGATTTTATACAAACTGGACACAAGACTGATGGTTATGTAATCTTTAACTCTAATAGATCTATATTTCTTAGAGACCAGCGAAATAAAAGTAGATATTAACCCAAGATTTTCCATTGCTATGGATGGAATTCAGCAAACACCTTTAAAAGATCACCTTTAATGATATCCCGACAACCATGAAAAAAATAGCCAACAGTAGGGCTGTCGGGTCCGGAGCCTTATCTATACTCCAAATTTCCGTCATTATTTCCTCTTCTTGAAAGGGTCTTTCCAGGAAAGAAGCCCTGTCCTGAGGGATAGCACACCAATCTAAATTCTCAAAAGAAAGGTCTTGACAAATTCTCCTCATTAAACAAATCCTTATAGAACTGGGTAATTTCCTTGGAAAAAGCTCCACTATCTCAAACAAGCTCCTCAATTGCAATTCTCAACTCCTTAACCGTACTTTTTCTCCTCTTTCCTGTAGCCACCTTATAAAAAAGCTTAGAATTTACATCCCTATTCTTAGCCCATTCATTAGTGAGTAGTGCATCCATAACTTAATTTCTTTAAGGATTCCATCTTTCAAGTAGCAAATATGAGTATGTGGATCTGATGCAAAATATAACTGAAGAGAGTTAATTGACAAAGACCAGAAACCAAAATGACCATATTATATCAATTAAGGAAATGAACCCTAAATCTTATTACTAAATTATGACCACCCCATCTGTCAGTAAAAAAATAAGGACCTGAATAGTCTTGGCATGTGAATATATAAGAGAACGTATGATGCAAAGTGTAAAAACAAACAGGACCGAAGTACCAACAAGACGATCATGCTCATGACTTGACTCAACCGAATTTATTTAGTAAAATGGGGTTTCAGCAGACACTGGAACAGTGAAGCACAAAGTCAAGTAAAAAAAAGGACAGTACCTGATCTTGATTTCCTGAACATTGCTATCTGAAATCGAGTAAAGCATGGTGTAGTTTTTAAGATCAAAGACCTTGTATATACTGATACCATTGGATGAAAACGTGTTAGATAGAAAAACCAACCGGCAATGCATAATTAACTTACGTAACACTTGAAGTGAAATAGAAAGAAAGTACCTGTTTTGTGCAGAATAAGTCAGGACCTTTCCATTAACATCATCAAACTCTACAAATCCAGGCCATTTCAAAGACTCAGACTGGAAAAGAGGAAACCCGGCATCCGGCTTGGCCCTTCGTATGTATCTAGGAAAACAAATGAATGAACATGTAAGCAAAATAAGTAGGGTGGGGGGAATTTGAATACACAGCCGCAGAATGCACGCACTCAATCCTTGTAGATCTGCATTTCAAAGAGCTGAAGTTCTCAGAAGCATAAACCGATACTGTAATAAGTGAGTCATTGTTCTTGTTGTAGAAGAGGCTCCGGATGACTTCATCAGGGCAAACATTCAAAAAGCAAATCCTCTCATTCGTTTCTGCAAGGAATTCACACATAAAAAAAAATCCAATCTCATGGTTTATTATACAAATATGACAATGATCAATTAAAGGGTAATGAGCAATGGCAAATCACACATAAAAATCAAAGGTCGTGATTCATAACCTATACACAAATACAACAATGATTAATTAATGGGTGATGGGCAATGGCAATTCATACATAAAAAACAAAAAAAGTAACGATTTTTAATGAATATAAACAAATAAAACAAAGATGGGTAACCTCACCTCTACTAAAAGCTGCACATAAACCAGAGTGGGCAAGAGCAAAGACTATGTTTTTGGCAGCAACAATTTCAACAATTTTGGTTCTTTTCATGAGGAAAGGCAAAAGGGTAGAAGGAGAAGAAGAGTGAGACTTAGGATCATGAGTGTCATATTGTTGAGACAAACGCATGGTGCGGAATCTGTGAGGGGCAGTGGCGGTGGCAAAAGAACGATGAGGTTTGGAACTAATCTCGCGGGTTAGGAGCTTCTTGATGAGACTGTTGCTGTTGTTGTTGATGAATAATAATCCATTATTGCCATTGCCATTGTCATCGTTGCCACTTCCTCCTCTCTTGCTTGCAACTATGCGTCGACCACACCAACCTCCACGCCTTTTTCCTTCCATTCTCAACCAAATTATTCTCTCATTTATCGATCATATATCATATATACAAATGCAATATCATATTTGCTTTTCACTTTTATTTCAACCATTGTAATTATCCTTCTTCTTCTTTTTTTTTTCTTCTCTCTTTCCAACATTTTTTTTTTAATAGTTTTACAAAAGTTACGTGATTGTGTAATGTTATAGAGATTCATTTTGCGTGCCATAATTTTCTTTTTTCTTCAAAAAGTGTGTGTCCCACAAAATATTGTGTGCGTAGAAAAGTTTATTGTGTCATGTTAAATGATAAAAGCAAACTCATTTTTATAATTCGTAAAAAGATATTCAACCGATTCAAATCGTAATGACAAAACCAAGAAAATCAATAAGTGAATTAACCGAAAATTGAAAAATTAAAAATCGAAAAAAAAACCCATTTATTTTGAGGAGAAGTATATTGTAACAACTAATTAGTGTTATTAACGATCAATTTTACGGTTAAATCAATTATGTTGATCCAACGGTTATATTTATTTCTATCTTTGTATAATTATGATTCTCCATATTTAATACGGTAAAAATGAATATAAAGTATTAAATATTTATATCCTGGATTGATAGTAATATTAGTAGTAACACTAATTAATGAAATTGATCGATAATAGCATTAATTAGTGGTTACAAGTGTCCTACTTATAATTACAAAAGATCTAATCGATAAATTTAAAACCGGATAAACGATTAATTCTAAAACTATAAGGACAAAAGTGAAGCTTTCCGTTTACCAAAAAAAAAAAAAAAAAAACTTTTCCTAAAAAATTATAAATTTAACATTTTCTATTTGTTAACAAACAAACCAAGCGTGAAAATGAGATAAACATTTTTAATGTGCAAATGTAATAGTCGGATCATTGGTAAATAAATTTAAATATTATTATTTAAATAAAAAATTACGAAAATGTATCATTTTGAAATCAAAATTTTGGCGCATTAGAATGTTTATTTGCGTCCAATCTAGATGCGACTAATCCAGTAATGACACATGACATAAAATTTTTAATAGTTTTACAATAAAATTTTAGAAGACGATAACTTTTAACTCGAGTGTCCAAATCAGCTATGTGAAATAAAAAAAACCATTAAATTCGTACACCTGAGTCAAAAGTTATCGCCTTCCGAAGTTTTAATGTAAAATTGTTAAAAAATTTGTATCACATATCATCACCAGGTGAGTTTAGGCGCGACCAAGCACCCTCTAAGGCCTTACTTGGGCGCGATTAGTTGTTACAAATTCGTAAATTGATTCCAAAATGCTATATTTTCATAATTTCTTATTTAAATAATAATAATAATATATTTTTTCCCCAGATTTTAGCATGACTTTTTTTTTCTTTTTTTTATTCCTTACTTTGAACATATATTAGCCACCAAGAAATCGTGGCAAATGTTCATATTTATCTTATAAAAAAAAAGGAAAAAGTTCATCGATGCCCCTGTGGTTTGCTTCAGAATCATTTATGTCTCTGTGGTTTTTTTTCTATCACATATGCCCCTGTGCTTTGTAAAAAATAAGAAACCACTGGGGTATATGTGATAAAAAACATACCCTTTTACAAATCACAGGGGCATATGTGATAAGAAAAAAACCACAGGGGTATAAGTGATTTTGAAGTAAACCACAGGACATTGGTGAACTTTTCCCAAAAAAAAATTACAAAAGAAGTGTGGCGGGATCAGGGTTGGAACACTCATTGCTCACGGGACATATTCTGGCATCCCAAAAAATAAAAAGCATCGAATAAGTATTAACTACGGTTAAATTATGACAAATATTTATAGCTAACTAATGAAAATTTATTGTGGAAAGAGATTGCAACACTCAGAGTAATAACTTGTGTGGACCAGACTTGTTATTTGTTATGAAATTTTCGAGTCACTCAAATTTTAGAATGCGTAACAAGTCGAGTTAACTGTTAACACAAGATTTTACACTCACCACCCCAAAAAGAAATATTTATTCATAAACACAAACTAATAATGATTGAACAAAATGATTCCAAATAAATCAAAGAGCCATTTGAGCTGTTTTGACCCGGCGTGTATAAAGTTATTTGCACGAGACATCTGAACTCGGCATAAAGTTTTACAAATCAAATACAAATTTTAATGTACTTTGGCAGATTTCAGTTTTTCAGCAAATTGAAAGATACAAATGCAATGTGCATAATAACCTTTTCCGACTCACGTCACGACTTCTCATAGCACCCCCTTATAACCTCTCAGTTTATTTATTTTTATTTTTCTTTCTCAAATCAACTATATAAAATTGATGCAATTTGGATAATACATGAAAGATTTAGCTAAAATCGAGATATAAAAATCAGGCATAAACAGAAATTTAAATTTTTAAAGAGCAATAACTTTTTTTCACCAAAAAGAACTTCATTCGATATTAGTTATGGAGCAGCACATTATGAGTATGACTCTACATCCCACACGGCCAGGATTGAGAGAAAACAGTGAGTCCCATGTCATTATAAAAATAAAAATAAAAATTATAATAAGAACTTTTATATAAACTTGTTTGACCTAATTTCTGTTTATAAGGAGAAGAGAAGCTAAAAAAAAAAGATCCAAACATGCACTTACTATTTAAGCAATTTTGACATTATACTATTCAGTCTTCATACGTACAATTATGAGCATGGCATCCTATGTTCAAAACTCAATCACATTGACAAGTTCAGCAAGAGCTCCCATAGCTGCAGGACCCCCTCTTTGAAGTAGAGAAAGTGCCAGTTCATGTTCATTCCATCTGCTTAACCCACGCGCCAATTTCCTCAAAGTGTCCACCTTCACTTCTTGAACCCATGCTGGTGCAAGACTAACCATTAATCCTACTAAACAGCAGACATAAGTTTTCCATGTAATAGGATTACAACTGAGTGAAAATTTCCTCTCCATGACTTCTGCCAAGAAGTCCAAATGGACCCCAATGGTGCGGTTCCTTCTAGAGAATGTCCAAGGTGGTAACTTAGTCCCAACACCCCATATAATTGAACCTGACAGTATCACCAGATATGCCATAGCATAACCTTCAAGTATATAAGACACGACACTATCATTGTTGTGCTTCACATCCCTTGATGACAGCAGCCAGGTAGGAATAGTTTCCTTATACAATTCCTGAACCAGTTGGATACCACCTGTAGTACATAAGAGACTTGCACCAAGGGTTGCTACCTCTTTTGCACTTTGAGCAGATAGGGATAGTGATGCTTCATTGGATTTTAAGTGGTGAGAACCAGAACTCGCCCTTCTGCCAGCTAATTCATTAGAATACTCTGTCACAAGACCAACAATTACATCGTTTAGATACTGCACATTGTGTATATTTCGACAGGACCTAAGGAAAAGGAACCCTGGAGCAACAAAAGGACAGACACCAGGGACAGTAATGGTGCTACCCAACAGGCCATTCACACTACATTCCGCGGTCAACTTCAATGTTCCAAGGAATGAGGTGAAGCAACTTCTCAACAGTTGAGCGACAGATTCTTTGTTATGTCTAAACACAGAACGAGAACATGAAAAAACAATGAAGTTGTGCCAGCGGCGAACCTTTTGGGCCCACAGAGAGCCAATTATAGGCATGCTAGGCCAAGGGCAACCTGATGCACAATTTTCCAAAGTTGCTCCAGTAATAGCATGGATGTACTCCAGACTCTTGTCAAGTTTAAAAGTAATGGATAAACTGACAAGAGCTGCCATTGGCAGAGGAAGCATTATTGGTGAACCTCCTACCAGACAACAAAGACATAACCCGTAAGTAATGCGAATGCAATAACTGTCATTGGATTGTTTAATCTAAAGTACCCTATTATTTATCAGAAAAGATTAGGAAAGAATAAAGTTTGCAGATTTATTTCAATCATCTTCCCAAGCACATTGTCTTTAACACAGAAATATACGGACCAAATGTTTTTGCACCTTGCAGTTTGCACCATCTTGATTCTTAAGGGCCTGTTTAGTGTAATGTATAAGACCTGATAGTATAAGCTTATACTATACGTTATGAAATTTTTAATTGTTTGGTGTGACCATCGTATAGTATAAGCTTATACAGCAGGATCCCTTAATACATCAAAATGATGTATAACTTAATCCGGCCTAAGGGGGAGAGATTAGGCCTGATAAGAGATTGATGTATTAATATTGCTTACAAGTACAATTTTCAAAAACTAATATATCATTTCAATATTAATATATTAAAATAAATTTTTTTAATATATTAATTTTTAAAATATTGAAAGATATTATCTTATACAATACCATACCAAACGCTGGATAGCATTAAAATTTAATCAGGTCTTATACAATCAGGTCTTATACTATCAGGTCTTATGGTATCAGGCCTTATCCAATACTATGCACCAAACATAGAATTATTTTAATCCAATTTAACCCAAAAGTTTTAGCTTAACAGCTCAAGCTGATAAGTGAAGGTTCAATCAATTATTTTTATATTATATTTCTCTAACAGCTGTCAATGGCAAATGGCAGCAAGAAAAAACCTGCCATAGAATTACAGTGGATGGCATTGTGATCAATGGAGGAAGTATGATGGCCATGTTAACAAAATGCAAATTATACTAAAAAGACCTGCATAACATAATTAAAAAAAGCTAACAACTGATATTACAAGAAACATTTTCTACCAAATATAAACTCAAATAAAAAGCATCGGAGATGATAAAACACAAAGACAAAGAAAGAGCTGAGGATAAAAATTAAGAAAAAAGAACAGATATTCATAACCTAATCTGAAATGGAAAGAACTAAATGCAGTGCAAGAGAAAGATAACAGAATTTCAGAAGAGGAAGAAAAACAAAAACAGTGAGATTAGCATAAGGTGGGTAACATAATCATGTTGAATGCAACGTCTGGCACAGAAACTGCCATTTGACAACGCTGCTATACACTCAAGAAACAACCACAAACTCCCCCCTCCCCCCCTCCTCTCTCTCTTTCTCACACTCACACACACATACATGGGGCGTGGTCCTAGTGAGAAAGCCAACATCAAGGACTGCATATTGACCATATACACAGAGATAGATACATACATAAATGAAAAGGACAAACAAAACAACATTCTAAATGGAGACAAGTGGAAATTTTTCTTTATTAAAAATATTTAACTAGAATATTGATGAAATATTAAATTGTAATTCTAAATCATGTCTGATACATTAAAAAGAAAAAGAAATCTCAGACCAAATTATCCTGGTCACTGCAACTATTTTAGGCAACACACAAAATGTCTGTCCATGTGCCTATCTCTGTAATTTCCATCTATCTGTGCATACATGGATGTAGATTTATGCTATGTTTTTTGTAGGACTCAGAATGAAAATTAGTAAAAATCAGACAGGTATATTAGAATATAGAACCAGCGAAGTACCAGAAGAACAGTTTGGAACCTCAACGCCAACATAACCTAAGATAGCTTTTATTTCTGACTCAACTGATTGAAGAACTGCCGCTGGACTAGGCCAATCTGTTCCATTCATTGGAACTAGTTTCCATACACCATGAGTAACTTCTGCAGAAAAATAATCAATAATGGCAGCAAGCGATGCTGGGAGAAAATCAACAAGGTCTCTCAAACCTGCAAGTGGAATGTCACATAAGAGTTACAGAGATAAAATGAAGGAAGAACCAGAAACACGGGCCTTCTGTCCAACAAGTTTTTTCTGACTCTAACAACCAACTTTTATTTATTTATTTCTGCATTAACAATTGATAAGAAAATATCAAAGTTCCCAAAATTACCCTAATTTGATGTTAGATCTTTTCTTTTATATATTACAATGTTACAACTAAACCTAGTGGGATTTAGTACACTGGCTTTGACAAATCAAGCAAAGTTTTAACATATCAAGAAAACAATATTGACAAAAAAAGAATTGGAACCAGCGAGATTATTTAATTTTCATGATTTAGTTTTCATCTATTACAAAGTCACAAGAAAGGTGGGAAAAAATTGATGGAAATAAAGAAAAATTTGATTGATAGATAAGTAAAGCTAGCATCTCGCAACCTGTTGTCAAGTCTCGTGAAGAAAGCCTCCCATGAACACAAGCAGTTAAAATTGCTTCAAGGACAAATGGAAGAGCTTCCATTACTTCCCATGCAGGAAGCATAGGTCTTTGAAAAGCATCTTCACCACCATTTATGACTGAGCTACATGCATTACCGCTAGTTGGTGATGAAGAATTACTTGGCGAGATTCCACATTTAGTCATCTTCTGGTAAATCATGCTCAAGATCATATCAGCAACTTGATGAATGGAATTTCCAGTAGAAAGGCCAGAAAGGGCTGAAGCAACACAAGATTTGTATTGACAATACAAGGCCCGTAATTTTGGAAATGAATCAATATATACAGGTTTAACAGATGCAGACTCAAAGAGACTTCGATTGCTTTTTAGCTTATCTTGGGAAGACATAATGCGATTGTTGTGCAATGACAAAAGATACTCCAAACCTCCAACTGCGCCTCCTCCTTCGGTGATGCACTGGTCAAGAGGGGGTCCACAGAATTTCCATAAACGTATAAGGAAAAGAAATGCTAAAGAAAAGGCCATGTATATTGACGTTGAAGGCTCATCGCCTGTGCTGCTTGAAGTTGGTTTAATTGAGCCAAATGCCTCGCAAAGTGGCAATAAAGAAGCAGCAACTGTAGGGACCTACACAAAGAACTCTTGATAAAATATTTATTAATTGTGACTGGAAAAGAAATTAAGCTTGAGAACGAAGTTTGTGTATTAATAGCTTAGAAATGGTACACGAACGGTAGACAAACTATCTATAGGAGGGGGATCATATTCATACAGCCATCATATAAAATATAAGTGATTTACTTACAACACCATGTAAAGAAAGTATATGAACTGTATCAACAGAGGAAGCTCCGCGAAGGATAGCACTTAGCATGGACATATTATCAACCAAGAGGCTCCAAGATCCAGAATGACTAGGAGGTACAGGAGAAGCAAGAAGCTTGACCACATACTGGACCACATGTTCCTGTCAGGGAGAAAAAGTTTCACATCAGAAACAATTAATGATGACAAGATGGATACAACATTCAAGAATGCAATAGCAAGAAGTGGAGAATTCACACATTAATCCATTAGCAAGTAAAAAGGACAGAACAATAATCTGAAGGGGGCAGAGTTGATGCCAGTTTAGACACATAGAGCTTGAAGAACAAAAGCATGACTATTTTTTTATTTTTAGTTTAGAAAAGAGGAGAAACAGAAGTATATTCAACCTCAGTGAAACTCAAAATCCAGGTCCGTCCTTTGTTTTAGTGTTTAGGACAAAGGCCCAGGATTGAATTAACCTTACTAAATAACAAATTAAAGATTTCAATTAATCAATGGTCTATACTATAATACTACTCAATGTATTGTGTGACCCACTGTGCATTTATATTATTTGGGCTAGGGAAGGCCAACAATAAGATAAAGAACAGTAGGGTGAAAAATGGCATGATGTACAACAATTCAAAATATAGTCGGAAATCAATGAATTGCCAAACAATTACAATAATAATTGACTGCTTCAACTCCAATAGATCCCGCAGATTCCAAACCCATCCACTATTCTTGTTCGCATAAAAGCTCCTAGCTAAGACAAGATCATTATTGTTAAGATCTCACAACCGTTGGGTATATAGCCAAAATGCCCTTTATACTGACTTGGGCAATCATCTGACCTTGAGCTAATTTTGGGGTTAAGCCTAGCCCCTTTTCAATTCGAATATGGTATCAGAAATGCCAGGAACCAATTCTACTAAAGCTTAAAACACATGTTGGGGGCCCCTTATATGTCCAGTCTTGGCCGTGAAAGGGTGTTAAGATCCCACATCGGGTATATAACCAAAATACCCTTTATAACGACTTGAGCAATCCTCTCTCCTTGAGTTAGTTTTGGGGTTGAGTTAGGCCTATTCTGTTCTCAATTCTAATAATTACATTACAAAAAACTTGCAACCCTAAATTTATGATTTTACCCTCTCCTCTAGTAACTAACAAGATTGGTAAACTTTAGAGTGAGTGTGAGACTATATAATATAAGAAATATACATCCAAGGAAATGCCTGAAGCACATCTAAGCAAATGTATTGTGGGAGGACTTCCGGTTTCCATTATCCCTAGTACGAATAGGATCTGTCACCTGAATATACCATCCACGGCTAAGGGATGCACCACATAAAATCTTTGCAGCTGCAGGCCTTTCCACCTCTGATCCATTTAATGCAATATAGTATAACTTCTCTATCTCCACCAGGCTAGGACAGAAGAAAAGTTGTGAAGCCAATCATCAGCAGTTTAGATAACACCAAAATTGAATCGAATTTGACACAAAAGTAAACCTTGAGGCAGGGGTCACCGTAAGGGAATTTATAAGGGAATTGTTTAATGGTGTTCCTTCCATAAATGTTGACCATGGAGATTTTTCTAGTGGTGATGAATCTGACAAAGACGTAATAGATGTAGACACATAACAAGGCCAGAAGTACACCGATGTATCCATTAAATTCCTAGCTATGCAAGCTTCCACTATGAGATGCCTCAAGTTCCCACCTGAATGGTAACAATTATTTTATAAGTATCATAGAGATATGCAGACAAAATAAACATGAAGTAAGTTTTATGCATATAATGTTAATCCTTATTCATTGTAAATGAAGTAGAAGGAATCATGGAAGCAAAGACCAAGTTCTCAAAATCAACCTGCTTTTGTATTTGTATTAGCATGAGTGCCAGTGACAGATTCACCCTTTTCAATCATAGAATTATAAATAAAGCTGACTGCTTTTCTAGCTTCCTGATTGGCTGCATCAACAACTAATTCAGGGGGGCATAGGAGGCCAGAAAAGTGTCCAAGGACTTGAACAGATGAAATCAGTCCAAGTTTCCTAGAATTATCACTCTTCATTTCATGTCTGAATTCTGATTCCTTAGACACTTGAACAGAAGACGGATTATGTTCAGCGTCATCCCTTAGAACATTTGCAATTGCCAAGGGGACAATAGATAAAAGCATGCAAAGACGGCCCTCAAGATGGGGAATAGGGCCTTCAGGAGGATCACGTTCCTGCAACAAACCATGACGGTGGAGAAATTAATTATTTGGTTAATACTTCGATGAAAACAAAAGATTAATATGGATCAATCTCAACTCGCTGCACAAGCCGAAGGGCCGAGAGCCAAAGTGCTAGAAAAGTTTCTTGCCAACTAGCCTGGTTAAATATTTGAAGTGTCTTGATTCCTTCTGCAAATAGGTCATGAATATTAGGAAAGACCTGAATCCTCATAACTTTCTGAAAATAAACTATTAATAACTAAAAAACAAAATTAGCAAAAAAAATTAAATCCAATGAAAACTATCTCAGAGGATTTACCTGTAAGCTCATCAATAGCTGATTTGGTAGGAATTTGTCTAGAATCCATAGCATTCTCCATATAAATATCAAAGGGAACCCAACAAGGAGACTGACAAGATCTGTAGTTGCATCTCAACAATGGCTTACATGATCCAACATCAACAAGCATCCCAACCAGCTGATGCTTACTTAGGGAGTAATTAAAATGAGAAACTCCACGGATGTTTGCAGACACTTTTGTTAGGACTTGGTTTACTAATTTTAATTCTGATGATGTTAATTCAAGGGATTCAAGAAATTGAAGCCTCTGCAGGAGGCAATTGAATTTTTCAGGCCTATCATACATGACAAAACACAAAACGGGGAAAACATATGGTCAATTTCCCAGCACAAATCCTAGAGAGCAAGTAAATATATGCATACAATAAAACTCAAGCAAATGTATAAAGGAAACTTATATGCTTCAAGAACTAAAATTGATCATCCTCACATGTTCCTAGACAAGAAGAGCCATGATTACTAGGAATTATGGCATATGCATAGGCATTGTTGAATAAATAAAATTTCCCAAACCATCTGACAATGGAATCATTTTATGTTCCACGAAGTCTATCCTGCATTTGTAAGTAATTTCACAGACAATTAATCTGATGCAGGACAGAAGGGAGTAAGGGATAGGAGGTTTGTATTGTTCTAGCAAATGACCTAGAAATAACAAGGTTAATGGGTATTGTTCTGCACTCATATGGGTTATTTTTGGCATTCGCAACCCACAAGGCCAGGAAATTGCTTCTCTTGTTAGGCAGTCAGGGGGAGCCCATAAGAAAAGGACCTCGACGGGGCGGCAAGGATCAAACTCTTTACCACTTGGTCATAGAGGTCTCCATACCATATCATGAACCATCCCAAAAGCTTATGTTGTTAGGTAAAGATACATGAATGATTTCATATTACATGTTTAACAACTTCTATAGATGCTTTCTCTCGCATTCCGTTACATGTTCAATACAAGAATCATTTTGTATCCTTGGGGTATATTTGGAGGGCTAATATTCCGACAAAAATGTTTATGCTTGTTTCGATAGCACAATCACACCATATTTTGACACAGAGTAGACACATCAAACTAGAGATGTCTTATAGTAGTAATACAGTGTAGGGAGTATAAAATTCAAGATCTCTATGAATCATTATTTCTACGTTGTTCTGTCAGCATCTACATTGTTTGGATGGTAAATATGTTAGCGATAATAGAATGAGAAGATACATGTTCAAAAAGGCCAAAGTATAAAAGGCAAGAGAAGATACATGTTCAAGAGAACAGACTGCAGAAGAATCGTTGCCTTTCTGCTTGCAGTAAGTCTTTCCAATACCTCTAAGGCAGTGAAGGAATTTCTCTTCCTTATCTGTTCATGATATTCATTTTTTTTATAATTATGCGCCACATTATGATCAATTTCCATATACTGGTCACCTTTCGGGACTAAACATGATCTTTCATCAAAGCTAACTTGTAATCCCCAATCACTTAATGTGCTATCAATCAAAGCAATGATAATGCTGTAAAAGAACAGCACAAACACATGTCCAAGCTCCAGATCACGAATTTTGAAATTTTCAGAAAGTTTAAACGCAAAGTCAACAGAATCTATTATCCTGCAAAACAGAAAATCAAAGCATATTCATACAGCATCACGTAAATTAACTAATACATAATAAATTACACATTGCAATGCATTGAATAATTAAATCGATTAAAATTAGATTAGAGAGTGAGGTTAGGGCTTTACTTGAGATTGCGAGAGAGTGGTGTGACGTTTGGGTGAAAGGAGAAAGCGTGTTGAGCGAGAAGTTGAAGAAAGAGAGCAAAAGCGTGAGGGAGAGAATGGCGATGAGGAATGAGGTTGGAAGAGAGAAGAGAGAGAACTTGGAGAGGGAAAAAGAGGCGAGAGGAAAGTGCGTGGTTCATGAACTTCCACAAGGAAGGGTGGTTATGGTTATTGTTGAAGCAAAGATGGGAAACTAGAAGCTCCCCTAACTCGGGGCTGGGTAACTCAGCGCCGAGTGAGTTGAGATATTCTACTAATTCCGTTACCCATGAAACCGGTGGTTCGTTGCGTTGCTGCAACCACTTTAACTTCTTTAGAACCCCTTCCTTCACTTGTTCGTCCCACTCCATTGTTTGTTACAACTGAAAAAAAAAAATGCTATCAGGTTCTTCACTCGACTTTGAGTAAATGCAAGTGTTAACGATGCAACAGGAATAATAAGACTGGTGGTTGTTTTGTTTAGGTTGGTAAATGCGGGAATGCATTCTCTAATATTATATTAAAAACAAATTTTTTTAATAAAACTCAAATTATTAAATATTTGGGGTGAATTTGAAATACACTCCGATTAGTTTACAAGAAAATAGTTAAACCCATTTAAAATTTATGTTAATTTTATAATAATAAAGGGGAAGGATATTGTGGCAAACAAGTTGTGTTATTATCAAGTGACTACCAATTAATCTCACCGTTAGATCGATTATGTTGATCCAACGGTTATATTTATTTTCATCTTTGTATGGTCATGATTTCCCAAATTTAATACTTTATATTTATTTTAACCTTTGTATGGTTATGATTGATTGGTAGTTATTTGGTAGTAACATAAATTGGTTGTCACAGTATCCTTTCCAATAATAAATGCAAAAATTTTATATTAAATTTTGAAGAGATTGGGTAGGTAGGACCGTAGGAGTAGGACACAGAGACGCTCGTGCTACTCGCCGCTTATTATTCCTTTTTACGGAAATTTTTATCATACACCGAGTTCATCAAATTTTTCATGCTCCTTTACCTTTTTAAGTAAAAAAAAAATACTCTTAGATCTCTTTCTCTTCTTATATTTCCCCCTCTATCCTTTTTTCTTTCATTTTTGGCTGGGTTCATCTTGCTCCCGGACCGTGAAATAATCGCTCCCTTTTTACAGCGTTGTTTGAATTTGATTATTCACATAATAATAGTAATAATATTTATAAACTCTTTTGAATATAAAATAAGGGAATTTAGAAACATTTATATGATCACATGGATATACACACTTTTATATATGTATATGACTAATATGAGATAATTTTATCTCCTAAAATATTGAGAAACATTAATCCCTATTTTATACTACTTTACTTACTTAATATTTTAAAATAGGTTTACTTTTACCACTCAATCTAAATTAACTTTAGGTGTAAATGGTAACATGACTCTTACATACAATTTTAATACCTTCTAAGTTTTAAACTTGAAAGATTTCTTGCTTTTGAAACACTTCAATTTGATTTTTCAAACTTGTTTGTGATGCTTGTTGGAATTTATGTCGAAATTGTGTAGACAATTTATTGATTATAAATAAAAAGTGGGTTAAGGAAGAAAAGAGAAAAGGGAAGGTGAAGGGTGTGTGAGTTTAAGAAGTCCCACATTGGACAACTAGTAGGAGGTGAGAGAGTTTATAAGCTCTCAACTCACACTTCTAAATTGGCTCTTGGGTCACTACACATTTTATGAAGGGGAAGGAGCTAGGTGGACTTTAGTTCCACCACACACGCGTGCGCCGTTGTCCGTCCGGCTCGGTGACCGGTCGTACACGTCCACGACCGTCAAACACGGCGATTCATCGTGACTGGTTAGAATCTCTATAAATAGACCCTGACCCCCTAGAAAATTTATCAAATTTTTTTGCACTGTTACTCTGTCGAAATTTTTCCTTCTTCCGGTTTGCATTCTTCTTTCCGATTATATTCTGCTTTTGTTTTATATATATTGTTTCTGTTTTATTTACTATGTGGATAGCAGACATTATCCTAGGTATTAAAATTCATAGAACATTTGGAGGGTTGGCCTTATCACAGACACACCATATAGCTAAAATTCTTGAGAAATTCAAAAGTTTGAATATAACCCCTGTGAAGAACCCCGTAGATTCTAATCTTAGTTTATTAAAGAACACTAGTAAAGCTACAACACAAAAGCTATATGCTCAAGTGTTGGGAAACCTTATGTATGTTATGAACTGAACCAGACCTGATATTGCTTATGCAATAAGTCTGTTAAGTCGCTTTACTAGTAATCCAAATGAAAATCATTAGAAAGCTATGATAAGAGTTTTGGGATACTTGAAGTACACTCAAATTTTGCTTTGCGTTACGAGAAATACCCCGCGGTTATAGAAGGGTATTGTGATGCAAATTGGATCATTGGCTCTAACGACACTAGATCCACAAGTGGATATGTGTTCACCCTTGGTGGGGGTGCTGTGTCTTGGAAATCGTCCAAATAGACTTGTATTGCAAGGTCGACCATGGAAGCAGAATTTATTGCTTTAGATAAAGCCGATGAAGAAGCCGAATGACTTCGTAATTTTATTGAGGATGTTCCTAATTGGCCAAAACTGGTACCAGCCGTATGCATATACTGTGATAGCCAAGCAGCTATTGGAAGGGCCAATAATGTCATGTATAACGGTAAGTCTCGACATATATGTCGTAGACATGATACCGTAAGACAACTACTCTTGAATGAAATCATTACAATTGACTATGTTAAGTCTAAAGAGAACATAGCGGATCCGTTAACGAAAGGGATTCCTAGAGAATTGGTTGACAATTTGTCGAAAGGAATGGGTTTAAAGCCTATCAATTGTTGATCATTGCGGTAACTCTACCTAGATGAGTGGAGATCCCACGAACTAGGTTCAAAGAGACAATTAAGTGATGTTCGACTGTCAAGACATTGTGGAGTTTTTTTAACTCATACTCATTCCTATGACAAGACAGTGTATTTATGTGGTAAGCATTTAGGCTTTTAATGATTTCTTAACTGTTGTGTTCAGATGATGTATAGTGAGTTACATCACAAGAAATCACCTATGTGAGTGTGAAGTGAGGGCCTCTTCTATGAGAATTTTTCAAAGGCCGATTCTCTAGAACACTCGCAGAACTAGGTAGGTGTCCCACGGCTAAAATGGGCACAACAAAGGACCAACAATGCTAAAGAAGCAATTGTGTGACTCCTATTGTCTAGGTATATGTAACACCCCGTTCTAGAACCGGATTGTTATCATTGCGTACGGCATTAAGCGCAGTTACAATCACATTGGTTCAATTAGAAAACCGGATAAATTTTTCCTTTTTAAACAAGCTGGATTTAAATAACCAAGTGCGTGATCATGACTATATATACTTCGCGGAATAGTGGGACTAAACTTAATATAATATTCCCATTTTACTTAACAACACGTCGTTAAATGTCTTCATCACTTTAATTATTAAATTAATTCTAAACTCCTTTTATGATTCTCATCTTCTCCTATGTTATAGTATTCCTCCTTAGCTACGCGTGGGTTCAAACCGCGCTCAAATCGGAGCACCGTAGCCAAAGTTATGCATTTTCGAAGAAAAGGATACGTGACTCTGCAGGACTCCCACGCTCTCAGCGTGGGTTCCCACGCTCTCAGCGTGGGTTCCCACGCTCGTAGCGTGAGATCGTCCCAGGAGGCAGAAAGTTGGCACCCCCAGCGTGGAAGTGGCGCTCTCAGCGTGGATGCCACTGCCAGGTTCCGTAATCTGGCGCTCCAAGCGTGAATCTGGCGCCCCAGGCGCCATCCACAGGGCTGGGTGACCCAAAACAAGGTCATTTAACCTACCTATGGTTTTCCACTCATAACTTGAGCTATACTCACTCAAATTACACCATTTTGGTCTCTATGGAAAGCTAAGAGAAATGTCTACAACTTCCATAGAGACATCAAAGTCCAATTCCATCACATTGGGTATGAAAATTGGTCAGCCGGACAGGATGTATTTGTTTTCTCAACATTTCCCAATTTAAACAAAAGGTACCTAATTGATTCTCAGCCCAACCAATTCAATAACTCAATACATAGAAAGCATGCATATATTGAATTTCAAGTAGGCATCATTTACAGTACATTTTTATTACAAATCATGGAACTTAGCTTACAAAACGCTATGATCACTCCCTTGGCTCCCATCAACAAAGGGATAACCAAAGGCATGGGCATAGGCTAAGTCCATTCCAATATACAAATCATAAATCTATCATTGTCTACTAATTACAATTCTATACATGTGAGCTACCAAAACAACATGTATAATCTCAAAAAAAATGCAACACTTCATGCATATGCTAATCCAGATATGGCCACTTGCCACCAGAGGCTCCTGCAGCATCCTTACCTGAAAGGGGGTCCCCACAACACGGGGTGAGATATACGAATATATCCAGTAAACCAGGGGTCCTTGGAGCATCTCTCCATCCCACAGTTCCATATCAGTGTAATAGCAATAACAATAATAATGCAGTAAATACATATCTATGCAAAGTGCAATAACATCTCCAGGAGAAATCCCTCGAGCTCTCAAGCTGTCCTAAGGAAACTCAGATGCAAATAGTCCTACTGGCCAGCTAACTACCAAGTATGATTTACGCATCGTCATGCAACATACCAACATAGGGAAACATTATCCTATGCCACACCAAATGCATACACATACGTATAACAAAGCATTACACTATTTTATTGCATTTACATACACTATAATCACCACTACCCTTTCAGGGCTTGGTGGAACAATCAAGGGAATTACACCCAAGGTCCGAAGGCTTACCTCAATGCTTCAGTCAACCTTTGTTCACCACCAACAGGTTCCACAGTCAGTCAATTACAATACTTCACTTCTCAAACAAAACCTACACAAGGTTTAATGCAATCAACACATATTGCATCCAATAACATCTCATAACTATCAACCAAGCTATACAATTCATACCAAACATAAGCATGAACTCACCTATCCAATGGAACTAATCAAGCTCCATAGCTTGCTCCAATGGTTGATCACTTACGGTTGGTCCAAATGTCTCAATCCTAGACATCACAAGGACACAATCATCAATCAACTATGTCAAACCATTGATAATAATTGCAAGAAAACTCTTCAACAAGCATGGTAATCTTGCAATATACCAAGTATAGTCATTTAACTAACTAGACTCATTTTTACCGATTAAATGACATTCCTAGCATTTTCCACAAGATGCTCTAAGCTCCATTCTTCCTAGAACATAGCCAATTTACTTAAATTCTCACAAAACCCATAACACTTTTCATTCAAAACCCTATATCATGAAATTTCCAAGAAAACATGGTTC